GGAAAGGCTGCTAGAAGCTACGGGCAATTTCTAAGTCCCCTCTGCATGAAGTGGCTCTCTGTGTGTGTGTGTGTGAGTGTGTGTGTGTGTGTGTGTGTGTGTGTGTGTGTGTGTACATACACCCCTGGGTCCCACCCCATCCTTTTCCTCTCCTCCAGGCCTCTCCAAGGGCACACTCACATCATGCGTGCGCAGCTTATGGAGTTGGGGCTTCCCCAGAGATGATTCTCCACCTCTGAGACCAGGCATCTGGAATGGGCCATCTGGGACCTTAGAGAGGACTTGGCCCAGGTTAGGGAACAAGAGGTGGGGCTGGAGAGGGCCCTGAGGGGGAGGAGGGAGCAGTTACTGGAAACGGGTTGAGTAATTCTCTGGTTCCTTTTTCTAATTCTCTGGGTTGAGCGCCACCTACTGTCTAACTTGGGGATAGCTCACCCACCACAACTTAAGGCAGTGGTTCTCAACCTTCCTAATGCCGCGACCCTTTAATACAGTTCCTCATGTTGTGGTGACCCCCAATTTCATTGTTACAAATTGAACATAAAGCATAGTGATTAATCACAAAAACAATATGTAATTATATATGTGTTTTCCGATGGTCTTAGGCGACTCCTGTGAAAGGGTCGTTCGACCCCCAAAGGGGTCGCGACCCACAGGCTGAGAACCTCTGACTTAAGGGGAAAAACTCTGCCAGGGGTCCTCAAACTTTTTAAACAGGGGGCCAGTTCACTGTCCCTCAGACCGTTGGAGGACCGGACTATAGTTTAAAAAAAAACTATGAACAAATTCCTATGCACACTGCACATATCTTATTTTGAAGTAAAAAAACAAAACGGGAACAAATACAATATTTGTATTTGCATGTGGCCTGCGGGCCGTAGTTTGAGGACCCCTGCAACCGATGTGGGCTTCAGAGATCAGGGGTGCGAGGGCACTGACTCTGGGCTCTCTTGGACTATTTGTACAAAATAGTAAATGGTAGGGTGGTTCCTTGTGAGTATGGCTGTTGCCTTTAATCGGCCATACCTTTCCCTCCCTGACTTTCCACTCATTTATGTTACCAGCCTACCCATTGTTGAACTTGAGGTTTGTGATCTGTGACCTTGAGCTTCTCCCCCAAGCAAGTCTGGGGCCCTCGCTTAGGTAATCTTTTGCTCACAACCCCTGGAAGCTGCTCGTCCACCAGGGTCAAGTTGGCACAGGGCTGGGATTAGGCCCTGACTTCATCTTCTTTAGGCAGATACCAGGGGCCATGACTAGGCACAGGGGCCACACTCCCTAGGAGACACTCACCCATGGCTTGATAGGGGGCCAGGAAGTCCTTGTGGAGGCCAGTGTTCCTGTCCTCAAAGGAGGCAGGTGTGTGGAAGGTCAGCAGCAGCCCCTACAACGGGGCTGTGATCTGAAAGGGAAGGGATGGGGGGGGCAGGCAGGTGTGGAGGATTCTGCACCACTGGTGGTCACAGGGTCACATCCTGGGTGGACTCCAGCCTCATCTAGAAGTTCTGCACACCTCTGGGGCTCAGAGCCACACCTCGCGGTGGCTTTGTCAAATAGTTTTACTCACCCTTTGTCCCCCCCGTTCTTTGGGCCACAAAGGCTGCCATATGCCAAGAATGGCTCCTCACCTCCTCTAGTGCTGTCAGTCCACAATTCTTCCAGGAGACTCTCTGGGAACCCTTGGGGTATTCCCAAGCAATCTGCTAGGCCGGAGCTCACATCACCAATGTCTACGAGGGCTCCTAGCCCATATAAGGGTCAGGAAATGTGTGTGGTTGAATCTTGCAAGTATGGCTAGAAAGTCTCTTAGCTGGCTTCTTCCCTTCTTCCTCCCTACACTAACCCCCTAATCCTCCTTTATTCAGCCCCACTGTTGCTTTAAGATTTTTTCTGCTACCACTCTGTGGACCTGACTTTTCCTTTTTTCTCCATCCCCACAGAATACTCCCCCTTGCCCCCAACAAACACATATGGTTGTAATTTAACTATCTAATAACAGTGAAAAAAAATTAAAGATACAAAATATACTGAAAAACGGTATACTTCTGTATATATATTTTTAAATTTTTTTCTTTATTGATTAAGGTATTATATATGACCTCTGTATGTTCTTAATCCTGTAATAGTAATAAGTAGCTCCTTCTGGGCTCTCTCTGGGTCATTCCAAATGACCAGGCTCCTTCCCAAGCACCATTCCTCTGGGGTCCTCCCCTTCCTAGAGCCTTGTCCTTTCAGCCTAAGTCCAAGGGACAGCTTGGGGGGCAATCCCTGTCACCCCCATTCCATGAAGTAATCTCTACTCCGGGTGCATGCATGCTGCTCAGGTCCCTGGTGGTGTGTATGTTCTCTTCCTTCTTGTTACTCTGCTTTTATTTGTCCCTCTCCCTCCTTCCCTCCCTTTCTCCAGGCCTTTGTGCTCTCTTTCATCCTCCTCCTTGCTCTAACTTCAGCTCTGACAACTTTCTCTCCTCTGAGCATCTTATTGCTCCATCTTCCTGGGGAGCCTCTGACTCAAGAAGGAAGTTTCCTGTTGGGCTTAAGAATTTTTATTGTTGGCTTGACCGGCCGGCGTGGCTCAGTAGTTCAGCATCGAGCCGTGGGCCAGGAGGTCATGGTTCAATTCCTGGTTGGTCCACATGTCTGGGTTGTGGGCTTGTGTGGACCTGACTTTTCCTTCTTTCTCCATCCCCCTGGAATACTCCCCTTTGCCCCCAACAGACACATATGGTTGTAACTCAACTATCTAATAACAATGAAAAAAAGGCCACAGACAAATTCCAAATCCTGAGGTAACTGAACTCAGGGTTTTACTGCTTCTCTTTTTTTTCTTTTCCTTTTAAATTTACTTTTCAATTACAGCTGACATATAATATTATATTAGTTTCAGGTGTACAACATAGTGATTAGACATTTAGATATTTGTATATCTTATAAAGTGATCCCCCAATAAGTTTAGTACCCACCTGACACCATAGTGATTACAATATTATTGACTATACAGGAGGCCCAGTGCTCAAAATTTATGCATGGGTAGGGTCCCTAGGCATGGCCGGTGAGCAGGGATGATCGGCGGGGCAATCAGGCCTGGCACCACCCACTCGCCGGGTGAGCAGGGATGATCGACAGGGCAATCAGGAGGGGGGCCCTGCTGGCACCCGGCTTGGCTGTCCTGGCACCACCCACTCGCCAGCCCCGCCCCCCGCTGATGCTGCGGGGTCAGGGCCTGTGGGCTGGGGGGAGCTCCTGCGTTGAGCATCTGCCCCCTGGTGGTCAGTGCACATCATAGCGACTGGTTGTTCCTGTGGTCATTCTGCCGTTCGGTCGATTTGCATATTAGGGTTTATTATATAGGATTCCCTATGCTGTATTTTACGTCCCTTTGACCATTTTTATAATTGGCAATTTATACTTCTTAATCCCTTTCGCCTTTTGTCCATCCCCTCCACCCCCTCTCCCATCTGGCAACCATCGGTTTGTTCTGTGCTCCTCTCTTTCCTTTTCCAGCTCTTCCCATAGGCTGGTTCCTATCTTCCCTGGTCGATCACTGAGCATGGATTCCTTCAGTTAATTCAAATAATTGCAGAATCTTAAATCTCTGATAAAAAATCAAACAGAGTAATGGGATTTTATCTTTATGCTTGAAAGGAGGAAAAGAGAATCCCAAAGGTATTCTTCTGGTTTAACAGATAAGCAATAATCTCACAAGTATTTATGCTTTCTGGAAAGTAAAAGGTTAATTAAATTTTTTATGAGTAATAAGTTATCAATGATCAATCAGAATTGCAGACTTTTAACATTTATAGACTACATGGTCATAAAGCAATCATCTTTGAAGTCTGAATGTCTTTAAAGATTCCTTTGTGTAAATTACACTCCAAAGATGACATAAATATAACATGGAACAGGATTATGTAGTTTCATACCAGTGAGATTAAGTGTTTTTGGTTCTCCACTTTATCAGAATCAACTGTATGAGCAGAATCCTGTCTGATTTTCTGCAAGGCTAGGCTAACAGGGAGTACACTCTGTCCTCATCTTGCTCAGGTTTATTTTGTTGGCATTTGTGAGGCTTGCTGTTTAAAACCAAGCACCAGAATTTCATTTCAGAGGATTTAGCGGGAACAAAGGGCAGGTCTGAGGAGCTTAAAATGTACAAAAGAAAAGAACAAGTTAACAAGTGTAAATATTGGACACATTAGGTCTCTCATCTACAATTGTGAGTCAGGTCCCTCACTCCAGGCCGAGGCAGAGGGCTTGGCCGGACGAGGCAACGGGGCTGTAGCTGGGGAAGGCTCTGGGGAGCAGGAGGAGCAGAAAGTTACTGGAAATACAGTACATTAGGTCTCTCATCTACAATTGTGAGTCAGGTCCCCTCACTCCAGGCCAAGGGAGAGGGCTTGGCCTGGACGAGGCAACGGGGCTGTAGGTAGGGAAGGCTCTGTGGAGCAGGAGGAGCAGAAAGTTACTGGAAATATAGAGCTTATCAACACGACTTTAAATCTCCAGAGTAGACTCCACTGTGGTCTGGCTTGGGGATGACCGAAATAGTGGAGCTGATTTTTACCCCAATTGAGGCTTGACATTTCTGAGACCGGGAAAACCTCTTAACCACCAACTATCAGACTTAACTGAAGGAAAAGCTAAAGAAAGTTCTCTGGGGACCAGGCCAGCTGCCTACTTTTTGTTTTTAAGTTCTCTTTCTCAAAGCCTCTATTTCCATTTCTTTATGCTCCTGGTTCTCTACCTCTGCCTTCCTTTTCTAGGCCGGGTGCTCTGGGGAGAAGGGCGAAGGCCATGTGGCAGCACCAGGACCCGACCTCATTCATATGAGGTGGGGGAGAAGGGAAGCCTTTGGTGCAGGCAGTAGAATTCACCTCCGTGGACTCCTCCTCAGTTTCTGGTCTGCACTGTTCCTCCTTGCCCTGAGTTGGAAACCTGGAGGTTCAGCTGGTGTTTGAGGTCCTGCGTTCTCATTGGATGTCAGAGCAGGTCAGGTGGCTGGCTGTGGACTGCTTGGCCCATGGTGTTTAGAAGTCCAGGTTGGGCCACTTCTTGTCAGTTGAGGGAGGAGTCAAATGAAACCCCAGAAGAGGAAACTTTCTATTGACACCTGCAAGTAAAAAGCCAGGACCTGCTGGAACAGCCAGCCCATGACCCAGAGGGGCCATAGCATGAGTCCACAGGAATCTGTCCTGGAAGGAGGGGTGCTGAACCAACCACTAGATCATAAGGGGTAGGGACCCCATAGTATGATAGTCCTTTGTTTCTCTGATTATGTTTCACTATAGCTACTCCTTTGTCATCCAGCCGTCTAAACACCTAGTAGCCCTAACAATACTGGTGACTTCTGCGTTGATTGTCACCCACCCTGCCTCACTTTATTTGAATCACTCATCATTGATTCACTTTATTGTTGTTGACTCTGATCGGTCTAGCAAGATCATTAGTACCATACCCACCAGGGTATTGGTTGGCTGCCTCCTGCATACCCCGCATTGGGGATTGAGTCTGCAAACCAGGCATGTGGCCCGAACCACAACCTCATGGTTCATAGGTTGAGGATCAACCACTGAGCCACACCGACTTGGTGAGCAATAGAAACTTTAAGAAAGAACCAAACGTAAATTCTAGAACTGAATGATGCAGTATGTGAAATTTAAAAAATTACTGAAAGGGCTTAATAGAAGAATGGAGATGGCAGAAGAAAGAGTCAGTGACCTTGAAGATAAATAGAAATTATTCAATCTGAAGAACAGAGGAAGGCAATTTTTTTAACTGAGTAGAAACTCAGGAATAGTGGAACAATATATAAAAAACCCCCTCTAATATGCATGTTCTTGGAGTGCTAGAAGGAGAGAAGAGAATGAGGCAGAAAAAATATTTGAAGAAATAATGGCTGGAAATTTCCCAGCTGTTGAAAAAGACATCTATCTTCAGGTTTAAGAAGTTCAATAAATTCAAAGCAGAACTAAAAATAAACAAAAGAGCACACATGGGCCCATCAAAGTCACATTGCTAAAAACTAAAGATAAAAAGAAAATCTTGAAGGCATCCAGAGAAAAAGAACACATCGCAATCACAGAACCGCATTTTCAATGTCACTGCTTTCTCATCAAAACCAGCAGACCAGAAAGCAGTGGAACAATTTCTTCAAAACATTGGAGGGAAAAAGCGTCAACTCAGTGTTGCTTTCCCAGCAAAAATATTCATCAAGAAAGAAGATGAAATAAAAGCATCTTCAGATAGAAAGAAAACTTAGAAAACTTGTCATCAGCAGACCTGCATTAAGAGAGACGCTGAACTTCTTCAGGCTGAAGGGAAAGAAATCCAGATGGAAGAACAGAGTCGCTGGATGGATAAAGAGAAATGGTAAATTTGTGGGTAAATATAAAATATGTATTTTTCTTAATATCTTTAAAATACATATGCCTGTTTAAAGCAAAAATTATAACATTGATTGTGAACTTTATAACATGTGTAGATTTAATATGCATGGAAACCATAGCATAAAGGATGAGGGGAGACTTACTAGTATGTGGTAACGAAGTTTCGTCATTCAACAGTAAGTCTAAAAAGACTAAAAAAGTGAAGGATGCAGTTCTCTTTAGAGCAGTGGTTTTCTATTTGTGGTCTGGGGAACGCTAGGGATCCCTGAGATCCTTCGAAGGGGATTATGGGGCCAAAATTATTTTCATAACAACACTAAGATGTTATTTGCTGTTTTCTCTCTCTTTCTCTCATGAATGTATCAGGGCGTGACCAGAGGCTACGCGAGGTATGTCAGCATCGTCCCTTCACAACTAATGGAACATGTGCTTATTTATCCTTACATTTTAAATTTTTCTCAGTTTTAATGTTTTATGCAGTGAATACGAATAGATACAACCCACAAAGACAAGGGCTTTTTGGGGTTCTCAATAATTTTTAAGGGTATAAAGCTTGAGTCCAACTGCCCTAGAGTGATCACTAAAAAAGAAAAATTAAAAAAAGAAAGGCAAAAAGGTATAGCTAAAGGCCAATAGATAAATTGAAATGGAATTCTGGACCCTAAATGGGATTAATTTGGGGGACTTGTTGCTAAAAGGGTGACCTATTAGAAATTGTCCTGGTTGATCTGAGACCGAGGGGTTTCCTGGGACACAGGGCTTTCAATCCTAAAACTGGTTCAGCTCCAGGCAAACCCAGACAGTTGGTTATTTCTAGTCCTTCAATCATCTATTTTGTTCCCCTTTCCCTTAGCTAATGTGAGCCCATAATGAGCCAAGGCTACATCTGCTCTATGCATGGGTCCCCAAATATAGGTTAAGAGGATTGAATAAAAGAAATAAAGGGAACAATCTATAAAATTGTAAGTACACAATGTTCGCAAAAATAGAAACAAGAGAACAATCTAAAACAACTGTGACCGGCCCAGCCGGCAAGGATCAGTAGTTGAGCATCAACCCATGAACCAGGAAGTCAAGGTTTGATTTCCGATCAGGGCATATGCCCAGGTTGTGAGCTCATTCCCCACTGTGGGTGTGCAGGAAGCAGCAGATCAATGATTCACTCTCATCATTGATGTTTCTATCTCTCTCTCCCTCTCGCTTCTTCTCTGAAATCAATAAAAATATATTTTAAAAAGTAAAGAAATAAAACAACTGTGACCATATTAGAGTATAAGGCTATGGGTGACTTAAAAAATGTTTCTCTGTTTAGTGAAATTTATGTGATGTGATTAAATCACTTTAATAATTATAAAATAAATGTATTTAAAATGATAATTGTGACCAGATGGCCCCTTCTAAGACAAACAAGATTAAAAGGATGAGGTCCTGGATCCTGAAGATGATGCTAAGACCCTGGCTCCAGTGGCATCTTTAGGCCGTGTGATCAATGAAGAACTTTTTGCTCTTGGATATAAGCTTAGACCAGGCATGATTCTTTCAACCTTGGGGAGCTCATGTCTGAAGACACCTCATGTCCCACTGTCTCAACTCTTCCCCTCCATTGGAATTTGTTTCTCATTGACTGAGAAGGGGCAAAGGGCAGAAGCAGGGAGAAGGGACAGTCTTCAAAGTTGTGATGTGAGGGTTGGGGAGGATGGAGAGAAAGCCGAAGTCCATGGGTGTGAGTGTAAGAAGTGCATAAACATGTTTTCAGAATTTGGATTATTTTTGAAATTCCTGCTGGTGCTGCCACCTGCTGTCCTGCATAGGGAAGGACTTCCTGTGGCAAATGTCTGACTTTTACCGGTTGCTCTATATTGTCTTTTAATATCTAAGAACTACAATCTGAACTGTTCTGATAATTTCACCCTCCCTTATGGTAATGGACATGCTAAGCTGCCGGCTGGGTGGTTTTTGATATGTGGGGTAACTATTTATTCATATATCCCTGCCAGCAGGACTGGGAGGCCTTGTTCCTTAGGATGACTGACTGTCTTTATGCCCCAGAAACATCACAGGGTCTGAACCAAAAGGGATCTTCTCACAGCCGTGGCACTGGACTGCAACGGCGATCTCCAACTGGGAGTCCTGCTGAATATATTGCTTTACCATTTTTGTTATGCTGGTAATGGTAGGCTCCCTTAAGGTGGAAGTGGCCCAGCTGACTGGTAGCAAAGTAAAAGCCCGGAATGCCACTTCTAATAACGACAATACCTGGGGTAAATCAAGAGCTGAGCCAGGTCAGGGAGGCAATTCTAGAGAATCAGGCTTCATTTTTCTCCTGTTTATTTTTGTAGCCTGATTGCTTGCTGCTGTATTCAATGTCTTCCTCATTTTAGATCCTGCATTCCCTATATTTCATCCCTGCCAACTGCTTTCAAGGCAGAAGCCAATGCAGTCCAGCAGGATGAGACTTTTCACTTAAAACTAATCTCATAGATACGAGATGAGAGAAATAGCAGTGAGGAATGTTAGGGGCAGAAATGGAATAGTGGGGACGCTATAATTATAAGAAATATTGCTGCTGTATTCAATGTCTTCCTCATTTTAGATCCTGCATTCCCTATATTTCATCCCTGCCAACTGCTTTCAAGGCAGAAGCCAATGCAGTCCAGCAGGATGAGACTTTTCACTTAAAACTAATCTCATAGATATGAGATGAGAGAAATAGCAGTGAGGAATGTTAGGAGCAGAAATGGAATAGTGCGGACGCTATAATTATAAGAAATGTTAATCATGCTCATGTGATTGTTCTAGTGTGATTAGAGAAAACCTAGTTGAGAGTTGTACGCCCCAGGACATGGGAGCCAACATCGGAATGCAGTCCAACCTCCTTGTCTGAGAACTGCCTATCATTATGGAAAGATTAACAACCTTGTTGCTGAAACAATCTAGTCCCGGAGGCGCCAGACCTTTGCCCGCCCTTTTCGACCCCCAGCCCCTATTGCTTGTCATCTGGTTCCAG